GCGGGCGGAGGAGCCCGGGGAGGGGGGCGGGGCCGCTGCGACCTTAGGCTCCGCCTCCCCCTTCCCGGGCCGGCCATTGGTCGCTGGCGCGGGTCGCCTTCCCTTTCCTCCCGCCCCGCCGGAGCGAGGAAGGCGAGACCGGGCTCGTTCTGGGAGGCGCCGCGTCTGCTTGTGGCTTGGTTGGCGGGAGAGCCCCGCTGGAAGGTTGCCTGTACCCTGGACGGCCCCGCGAGCTAGCGAGTGGAACCTGTTTTGAGGGCGACATCTATGCCCAGCTTGAAAGCCCGAGGGTATTGAGCGTGGGAAAGAAGAAGGACGGTCCTGCCGGAGGGTTTCTTCCGAACTTACAGAAGTTACTTTTTTTTTCGAAGTACGTCTCCCAGCCAGGATGGCTAGTGGCGGTCCAAAAAATGTAACTTCGACAAAAATTGGGCTTCCTCAGGCCACCTGGGGGTTGAGGTGGCCCCCCTGGTCTCCTGTGCCTTTAAATGTGGGGCAGCCGATAGCACGACAATTTAATCAGGTGGTGTTAAAGCTGGGGGAGGGCAATACTTTAAAAAAGGATGGATGCACATTTTAAAAAAAAGGGGGGGAAGAGGAAAACGAGGGAGTTGGAATAGAAATTCATAAGAGCGGGAGCAGGTAGAAACTCTCCCTTTGCAGGAGGGGGTAAAAGGATTCCAAGATTATTCCAAATAATAATAATAATCTTTGTACAGCAGAGCTGGAAGGGAGCCTGTGGATCATGGAGTCCAGCCCTTGACGAGGAGGCACCGTGGGGGAATTGAACTCCCAACTTCTTGCTCTGACGGAAGCCACTGAACTGCCCGGCAGGTTTGAAAACAAAATCGCGTGGTCCTGAAGTACTAGTTGTGACCGCACAGTTTTCATGGAGCAGCTGGAGTGGGTAGACGACCTGGTATCCTTTGCTCATTTCTGCACAGCACCCCGAACACATGAAAGTTCCCTGGGAGTGATCCCTGTGAGAGCAGGGCTGAGTCAGATTTGGGGGCTTCAGCATTTTGGACTCAAAATTTGCAAAGAAAACAAAGCAGTAGGAAACAAGTAGATAAGCCTTGATGCCATCCCGTTTCTTCTTAGTTTCCACCTGTACATGTTTTCTACCCAGCTGTACATTTTATGTTCAGTGATTTTTTTAAATGGCCAGAACCAGAAAAAAACAGTTGGACTTGGACACTGGGTATCAGACCCCATGCACACCAGATCTCATCTAATTTCAGAAGCTAAACAGGATTGGGCCAGGTTAGCGCTTAGATAGGAGATCACCAGTGATCTCCCAAGATGGACTAAGAAAAGTGCTGGATCCGCTTGGGAACCAGCGGCCCCAATGTCACAAAACTGGGCTGAGTGGAATGACCTTACTCCATAAATAAGGCAGTTTGGTGGTGGCTTCATAAACAGACCAACGTAAACTAAAGATGGTCTATCAAACCTTCCCAATAATGAAAACAACGAAGGGTTTCACTATGATGTCCTGCTTAATCCAGCCTTGCTCTAAAGGGCTCCAGGAAAAGTAACACCCGAGACAGGCCAGTGTGCAGTGGTGCGATTGCCACAGCCCCAGTGTTGTCACTCCATAGCTGTTTTTGCACATTTGGTTCAAGGAGCTAAGCTGGGAGTATTGTGCTTCTAAGGGCAGGAAGGTTTTACTTACCAGCCCTTATCGTCTGCAGCTAAAATGCATATAAGTGATTAGCTGGAAACTGAAAGCTCATAGCTCATTTTTGGAGTGCCACCAGCAATATTTTTAAATCCTCTCTGCATAGTGCAGGCCTCAGTTGATGCTATCTGCAGCATTGATCAATAAGCAGAGCACCTCAGCATTTGAATCCCTAATCCTGCAGTCAGAAGGATTTGAGTCTCTTTTTCTAATGCACTCATCTTAAAATACTGAGACTTGTTTCACTGCCAGGATATTTATTTGTTTAAAATATTTTAACCCACCTTTCTCCTTAAAAAAAGGACCTAGGGTGGCTTACAGCAATTAAAAGAGAGTATTTCAGGAGATAGCACTCGAATGTGAATGGACCTTCAGATAATGCATAGTTGGTTGGGAGTCAAGGGGAAGAGAGGACCTGTTCTGAATCTAGCAGTTATTTCTGCTTTTCTTTGGACAAATGTGAACACCACCCATATACTGTACTACTAAGTGCTGCTGGATGAAGGTGCCTTCCCACTGGGTATCCTTCCATTGGTAGAGCTGACTTGCTAGATGCTTACCATCATATTTGTAAATTCCAGTCACTCATATTCTGTCACACTTGCCTGGGCAGCCTAGGCTAATATTTATTGAAATCCAGAGGTAAGTCACAACTAGGGTAGGCCCATACTACAATGAGGATTGGGTGAGTCCAGTTCTCTGTAAGTTCCATTGATTCAATGGGCCTACTCTAGTTTCATCCTACTACTGAATTTCAGCCTTTATGGCAGTGATCCCCAACCTTGGGCCTCCAGATGTTCTTGGACTACAGCTCGCAGAAGCCTTCACCACCACCTCTGCTGGCCAGGATTTCTGGGAGTTGAAGTCCAAGAACATCTGGAGGCCCAAGGTTGGGGACCACTGCTTTATGGGTTGACTGGTTTATTTATTTATCTGTGCCTCAGACACTTTATCAAGGACATGGCACCTTGCCACCCCAAGGTATTAGACACAGGGGAATGAGAGGGATGAGAAGTCAGGGGAAGAATGTATGATTATTTTAGTTATGCATCCTGTTGCTTAGTCACAGTGAGGTAAAGGATGGGCAATTGGTGGCCATCCAGATGTGGGTCTGCAATTCTCATCGGCTGTCTCATTGGCTTTGTGGGCCAGGGCTAGTGGCATTGCAGTTCCCAAAAGGCTCTGCGGAGGACCAGAAGGTGGGGGCTCAAGACGCTGGTTTGCTTCACACTGGCTCCCACCAAAGTCTGGGGGGGCACTTCAGTGAGCATCTGTCTGGGACACAGACATACTCCCCTTCCCAATTTCACACACCCTTACCTACTAGAAGAAGAAGTGGACTTTAAACCAAGAAGTTTATGAAATGTAGCGTTTCTGCTCTGCTGTAGCATTTTACAAGATGTACCCTTGGGATATATTGAGCCAGCTGATGTTATATACCTCTTATCTGTGGATGGTTCTCTCTCTTTTTTTAGTTAATTAAAGGGCTGGGAAGCTCAGTGAGTTAGATATCCTGCTGCAGAGCTAGAATTTGGGGGTTCATTTCCCCACTGTGCATTCCAGAATTGCCAACCTAGGTGGCCTTTGGCAAGTTGCATAGTCCCAGGGTGTCCCCTGAAGAAGGGAGTGACAAACTACTTCTGAGTACTCATTACTTAGAAAATTCTGGAAGGAGTTGCCATAAGTACTTGATGGTGCATAATTATTATTAAAGGGCCAACCTTACAGAGTGAGGCAGCCGCCTCGGGCAGCAGAATTTAGATTTCATAAACTGGTTAGAATACAGGTAGTTATTTAATTTTTTTATTATGATGTTCTACTGTCAGGGTGTGAGAAAGGTACTTATAGGATTTTGCACCTTTTAAGCTAGCTTTGGGTGCTATGTACCTTGACTTTTGGTAAGTGAGGCTGGTCACTGTTTGCTGCAATGTATTTTGCAGCAAACGCCTAGAGTGGTCGGAATGACCAAATAGGCGGGGTATAAATTGAATGAATGAATGAATGAATGAATGAATGAATGAATGAATGAATGAATGAATGAATGAATAACTTTGTGCCACACTGGGGTGGAATACCTGTGGTAAAATGTCTTAGCTCAGCCCTGGTTGTACAAGAAAGGGAACATGCCCTTGATTTTGGAAGTGGGGTGGGTAGGCCACAGGGGAATCGCAATAGGCATAGTCACCCCTTTTTGAGTAAGCCTATATGGCTCAACCTTTGGTAACCAATAAACCAGAAGTTACTGACCTCCAAAGGTCCTGGAGCCAAACATACCCATCCCTAGACGGAGGGCTCTCCTATAAC